AAATTGCGCCACTGAGGTTTCTTCTTGTGCCAAAGCCGGCATAGACGCTTTCATCCCTTCACGGAAATATCAGGTGAAACCTCAATCTTCTCCATGGATCACACCAGCATGCTCGGCCGTCATAGCACACAGGAACCACTATTTCCGGTTATACCAGCGGAACCTACTCCTCGTGACAAATATAAGCGAGTCCTCGAAGAAGCTAAGTCACTATTTGCTGGGAGAAAAAGGCACCGCACAGCCTGTAAAACCTTTGCCTCTCGTGACGACTGGCGTCTCTGTAATAGGGTACTAAATAAATGCAAGGTCTCTATCCGCTCCCGTCTTCAATCGATTTGAGGTGTTATCATCCTCTGCTGATAAAGCCGAATGCTTTGAGCGTAGATTCTCCTCAAACTCTACTCTTGATTCATTTGCTTGACTTCCCATTTAGAATTGATTTTTTTTAGTGATATGCGTATAACCTCTTCCATTGTCTTTGGTATTATTCCTAACCTTAAAGTCAACAAAGCATGTGGACCCGATGGCATCCTTGTAATAATAATTGACAAATGTGCTTTCGAACAGGTTCCTGTTCTTTCTAAACTGCATAATAAATACCTCACTTCCCTCTGCTTTCCTGTTTACTGCAAGTCATCGTCTGCTGTCCTAGTTTTTAAGAAGTCTGTTGAACCATCTGACCCATTCAACTATTAGCCTTCTAGCTCTTTTTGGGAACCTCCTAGAGGCCCTAATCAATGCTGAATTGGTTCATCATCTCTCATCATACTCAATACGGCATTCGTTTCTCCAGGTCAACTGCTGATGTACTGACGATAATTGTGGAAAGAGTCTATCGTGTTTTGAATAAAAACAGTGAAGCCCGGGCTGTAGCATCGGGCATCCCGAAAGCCTTTGACGGGGTCTGGCATTCAGGTCTTCTCCACAAGCTGAAAAGCTAACGTATCTCCAGATACATTTTTAAGCTGATCCAGTCGTTCCTATCAATTCGGGAAATAAAAACTGTCCTGAATGTTATCCTTTTGTAATAAGGCGAGTGTCCCCTAGCGCTCCATTCTTGGTTCTACGCTGTTTTTGATCTTCATTAACGAACTTCTCGATGATATCTGCTCTCAACATGGCATCTACGCTGACGATACCGCCATTTCCTCATGCCTCAATAGTAAGTCTGATCAGTCAATGTTAAAATGGCAGCCGATCGATAATACCACATCAAGGTCGTCGTTAACTGGGGCAAAAGATGGCTTGTCAATTTTAACGCATCCAAAGCTAAACATCTTTCCATTAATCATCTGAGAAACCCCTCTCTGCCTCCCACAAGCATGGCTGATGCTAACCTCCAGGAAAGTGAATCTTTGTACCTTCTCGGGCTAACGTTCTCAGGTAACATTGAATCCATCGTTAGATCAGCTGCTGAGAAAATCTGTTCACTGTGTCGAGCGAGACAGTTTTTCTCTCTGGAATCTATCTTGCATATCTATACATCTACCATTCGTCCATACTTAGAATATTGCGGTCATATATGGTCCAGTACCCCTACTATTTACCTTAATCTCTTTGATAAAATCCAAAGAAGAATGAGGGATATTATTGGTGGTTCAGCTTCAGTTACTTTCCCAACGCCCTAAGGTTGGCCTCCCTCTGCTTTCTTTTTATACTTTCATTGTAATTTTTCGAAAGAGCTCTTCGCTATGGTGCGTATACTATAAAAATTTAAGCGCAATACTAAACAGGCGACAAGATCTCATCAATTTACAGTCGAGCTAGTTCGATATAGCCGTAAGTTCTATGCTAACAGTTTCTTCTCTTGCGCTTCTCGCTTGTAGAACTTCCTTCCGGCCCCGTACTTTCCAACCAACTTTAATCTGCAAAAATTTAAATGTAATGTCAATCGCTATATCCACTTTACTCTGATTGTTCTCCTATTATTCATGTTTCTGTTCCTAATTCCTCCACACCGTGTGACCCTTTGCGTAGTACTGCCTTGCTTTGGATGATACCGATTAACATATATATATATATATATATATATATATATATATATATATATATATATATATGATTATTTATTTAAAATTATATCTGCTCTACTCTGTATTGAGCATTCTTTTAAGAATAGTAATTGTTGGTTATTGGAATTTATTCCGTATACAATCATAATATATATATATATATATATATATATATATATATATATATATATATATATATATATATATAATTAATTAATTTAATGAAAAAAAAAAACAGACCACTTTAAGGTACCATTACAATAATTTATTTCACTAAAATCCCTTTTGAAGGACTCCTTGAATTAACCATTCGGTTTACCAAGTTCTTCGCAACTTTTATTTATATATATTTATATATATATATATATATATATATATATATTCAAATATATATTTTAAATATAAATATAACAATGAGAATGTCTATTATTATGTCTGATCATGAGCCGTTTTAATGTTTCAATGTTTCTGGTGAAAATAGACATTCGAACACCAGAACGGCTCATGATCAGACATCTTAATAAAAAAAGAATATTAAATGGTGGCAATTTTTGTTTTATTTTAATAATATATGTTTAAATAATGATATGAACTTTGTCCCATGATACAATATATATATATATATATATATATATATATATATATAGATAGAGAGAGAGAGATAGATAGATAGATAGATATATATATGTGTGTGTGTTTGTGTGTGTTTGATATGTGTGTGTGTGTGTGTGTGTGTGTGTGTGTGTGTGTGTGTGTGTGTGTGTGTGTGTGTGTATAGTTGTACACAGGATAAATGAAACGGCCAAATATAAGCAGGTTTTGTACGCGTGTGCTGGTGTGCATACGCAGGCAAGCAAATAAATAATCGCCAAATTTATGCAGGAGGTGTTAACGTAACAGTGCTCAATACGGTTATACAAAGCAAATATACGTATTAATTAGTAATGAATACACACACACACATTTCCCAGTGAAACTATAGTCGCCCGCCAAAAACATAGGTACGCGTATATATACTAAGATATGTAGAAGATAAAAATTAAAGACAATGTCAAAGTAAAAAGTAGGCATGTATTTGGTTTGCCCGTAAGTGAAAAATGCATGCATAGATGTGGTTTTAGACGAGCATCAAAAAGGGATACATACGTCTGATTTGCACGAGTCGAAAAGGTAAATATGGGTGTGGTTTGCATGAGAGTCAAAAGAATTGCACATAGGGGTGGTTTGCACGAGAGTCAAAAAGGGAGGCATAGGTTTGATTCGCACAAGAGTCGGAAAGATATATATATATATATATATATATATATATATATATATATATATATATATATATATATATAGGTACGGGCAAAGATGTAGTCCCTTATTTGAAGAGGGGCTACTCTTCTGAATTCATCGTATTCTTGACCCCAACCGACAGGGTCTGTGATGAATAGGTATGCGTAATATTACGAATGCGGCGACCACACAAAATACAAGCTCTCTCAATTGTTTCTCATTGCCAATTGGTTATCAGAGAACAGATTGTCTAAATACGATGTACATTCCAAAAGTTTTGAGATTTTTTTTCAAGAGAGATATTTATTAATTTCAAAGAAATACAATACTCTAATCTCCTTCAAAGTAGGGTTCTTTGATTGCAATGCTCTTGTAGAGTTCCAACCACTACGTAAAGACCCCATAGAAATCATACAAAATGAAGGTATCCGGGACCCTTGTTGCAGTCTCATTAATCTTCTCTATGTCTTCAAAATGACTGCCACTGTGTTTCTTCTTCACTTTGAGTAACAACCAAGTCACAAGGAACAATGACTTGACTGTAGGGATGGGTGAAAGACACTTTTGATGACCCTCAACCATCTCCCTTTTTGTCACCAACGTGTCCTTCCTTCTGACCGTCATCAAGCAGCCCAGGAACAGTCTATGCACAAATTTTGCGCATATTCACATCTTCATGGATAATTCTATGTACAGTTGCCACACCAACTTCAAACCGTGTATGCTTATTGTCTTTAACTCGACAATCTTCATTCAGAAAAATCCGAATTTTCTCATCCACGTCCACATTGTCTCCCTCCCCCATCGTTCATTGTGGTGTAGTGTTACTGACTCACAGAAAGTAGTATGCACTTAACCACCAGCGGGTAATAGCCGTATCTATTTCTAGTCTTTGTGACTTCCTATGTAAATGAGTCACCTCACTCATCGTCTCTCACATTCTCTCCACCGTTTTTTGGATATCTTGTGCCAGAGGAAATCAGATTGCTCAGCTCATACAATTTAATCCATAAGCTGTCTCTAGTATTTCATACACTTGTCTAGCATGTTTGCCCAGTTTAGCATAACACATTATTTCATAGCGAGCTTCCAAATTGTCTTCACGTCCTGACTGCATTCTGCAAACTTGTCCGCTGTGACAAGCAGTGTTTAGCAGGATGTGTTCAAAGTCTCCTTCGGTCTTGAATAAAAAAAAAAACTGACAAGTCCACTTTTTAGATGTAGAGAAATTATATAATATAAAGCTGCAATCATTTATGAAAGTGTTCTTAATGGCTCTTCCACAAAAGTCTCAAAACATCTTCAATGCACCTCATGCATAGTAACGTCTCTTCAGATTGATTTTCAAATTACATCCGGGCCGCGCAAATGATTCTTGAGACATTTTAAATGACTGGATATATTTTGGACTATCTTTGTATATCTGGTTTGTTGTGATAATCATTAATTAAGCTACATAAGCAACGTCTGGTGATATTTTGCTTGAGTGTCTCGATTTCACGATAATAACGTTTCTGTAACGCCTAGCAGTTTTACTCTAATGAAAGCCTTATTAGCAGCAGCGGATAAGCTCCGTTTCAGTGTAGGGTACATTCATAGGTGAAAGGTAAAATGATGTTTGCCACTCTTAGCTGATATATAGCCATATATTTAGAACTTCAAGTGAGAAGAGAATGCACGTCCAGTCGTTTGTTAGATCAGGGAGGTATATTATGGATCAATGTAGATAGATAGATAGATAGATAGATAGATAGATAGATAGATATGAACAGACTGAGACAGACAGATAGATAGATAGATAGATAGATAGATAGATAGATAGATAGATAGATAGATATGAACAGACTGCGATAGATAGATAGATAGATAGATAGATAGATAGATAGATAGATAGATATGAACAAACTGAGACAGATAGATAGATAGATAGATAGATAGATAGATAGATAGATAGATATTTTTAATCATACACCATCTATTGTAATTTAATTTTTTTCCATTTCTCCGGACGCAGGTGGCGATGATTTGCGATCAGCAAATTTTCAAAATGTCGGCAATTTGAGTGTTCCCGTTCTGTTAAGCAAACAAGGCGGGAAACATTGAGGGAACAGAGTGGGGGGAGACGGCGCAGAGATAGGGTAGGGAACGAAAATAAATAAGTACAAGGGTGAAAAAGAAAGAAAGAAAGAAAGAAAGAAAGAGGGGATTTGAAAGAAAGATGTTGAAAAAGACTAAAGTGGCGCAACAAAAGAAAGAGAGGAAATAACTTCAGATGATGAAAAAGAAAACAAAAAGACATCTTTGAAATAAAGAAAAAAGAAAGAACGCAATAGAAGAAGGAAAGCGGTTTGAAAGAAAGAAAGAAAGAAAGAAAGAAAGAAAGAAAAGTAACATGGAAAGAAAAGATAGGTGGAAGGAAAAAGAGGAAAATTATCAAGAGAAAAAAACAAACAAACAATAAAAGTGCTGGGTAATGGAAGAAAGAAAGAAAAAATGAATTTAAAAAATAAAAAGAAAGGAAGGAAGGAAAGAAAGAAGGAAGAAAAGAAAGAAGGAAGAAAAGTAAACTACGTAAAATAGAGATGAAATTAAAAAAAGGCAGCGCAGATGAAATAAATGACAAACGAACAAACAAAAGAAAGAAAGAAAGAAAGAAAAAAAGAAAGAAAAACATTAGTATAGTCATAACGAAGAAAAACGACAATAAATCGAAAAGGGCGGGAAAAGAAAACATGGCGGGAGATTGAACCTTCGAAGGTAGCATTTAAATGCAAAGTGGCAGGTGAAAAGGAATCTTCGATGGCCTGCAATAAATGAAAGGCTTGAAACACCAAAGATAGTGAAGCAAATACAAATAAACCCACTCTCTCTCTCTCTCTCTCCTCTCTCTCTCTCTCTCTCTCTCTCTCTCTCCCACTCGCAACTCACCCCTAAACCTTTAAACTGGCTCCCAGCATATTTTGGACGCGCGAATGTCCGTGCGGGTCGTGTTCACTCTTCTCTGCAATCCGACACCGACAGTGGATAAACAACGAGGGTAAATTTACCCAGGAAATTCAGAGCTCGACTATAACGGGCCGGACTGTGGCTTACACACGTTCGCCTCCGCCTATTAGTGGTCCATAATAAGCCGAGTTTATTGACAGACTCCAATTCGACTCTAAGCCAAGTCGATAACGAACTCAGGCTAAGATTTCAAGTTAGGTCCAAGAGTTGGGGGTGGGAATCGTTGAGTCCAGTAAAGTAAAACTAAAACGCTAGCATTTTCCGGGTGGTTTAATGGCGGGTGGGGAGAGAAATAAAAAGGAAACGAAAAAAAAAAAAAAAAGCCCAACCGACTTATCATTATAATCTTATTAAGAAATACAAATGGAGGATAGCAAAAAAATTTAATTTTGTGTGTCGGTGTTAAAACTATTGTTTTTTTGTTTTTTTTCACCGATCGGCTTTGACGCTACTAAACAAATACACTGCATCATTTGTCTGAAATTCTGGGATGAGTTATCATTATTTGCACTATATTCGGACTATTGTCCTCATCTTTGTTGTTTTTATCAAAACGTTTTGGTCGTCCTGCTCTCCGGCCTTCCTCGGATGTATATCGATCTAGATCATGGCCCAGTAGATAAAAGCTTTGGTGGGTTCCAATGACGATATAAAGAGTTGTGAGTTCAATATCTGGCTACTTGCAGTGGTGAACAAAAACCTAAGGAGTTGAGTTAAAGGGAGATAGCGAAGACATCCGGAGGAGGAATGACATGTGGAACTAGAACAATCTACCCCGTTCACTTCGAAATTCCAATCACCTGAAGAAGGTCGGAACGCACAACAACTGAAACGTCGTGAATATGGCAACAAATATGAGGATAACAGTCCGAATAATGAAGTTGTTGTGTCTCCACAACGTCCTGTGATTTGTGGCTCTTTGTAAGGTTTAGCTTTCGCTATCTCTCCTAATCCTCGTTCTACTTCTACAAGCACAGGCTTGTTATGTAGGTTACTCACTGCTTTCCTCTGTCCCTCTTGCTTTTTGTATGCCAAAATCTCCCAAGTTTTCTCACTGTCTCTTTCTCATTCTAAGTATAAACGTCCTTTTTGTCTCCATTTCCCTTAGAACTTCCTCGTTACCTACAGTTCGTGGTATTCTCAGCATCCTTCTGTAGAACCACATTTCTGTTGTCACGAGTCTTCTCTTCATCTGTGAAGAAATTTGTCCAGCATTCACTGCCATATAGGAGAAACCGATGTTATATACCAATACGATTTTTTTTCTGTTTCTTAATACACTCTTTAGCTAGTAGAAGGCACCTTTAGCTATTCCACTTCGGATTTCGGTGCCACATTTTCCATCATTCATTCATTCATGACACCACTATGATATTAATATTATTAAACAGTGGGATGTACAATAAATATTTCCATTTTTACAGACCTTTGCTCCAAGTAATATTTGTCATATGGTCGAGTCATCGGTGACTAAACTGCTCCTCCCCAACAACCACCACTAGCAGACCTGGTGAGGAAGGAAATGCACATTTCCATATGTCATTATTATGAACTAGTATCTTCATCTTTATTGTTTTTATCTCAGTATTTCAGCTGAAATGTTCTTCAGCCTTCCTCAAGAGTATGTTACATCCAATGGTCTTTAGATGTCACTTTGCACATTATTCTGACCAGTATCTTCATCTTTGTTGTTTTTATCATAATATTTTCAGCCTTCCTCAGGTGTATGTTACAAGATATGTGTGTGTATTTGTGTTTAAATGATAAATCTTTAATATTTTATGCACGCACACACAGGGGCCATACGCACATGCAAACACAGACACACACATACAAACACACAAACACACACACACACACACATATATATATATACAGAGAGAGGTAGAAAGATAATTATATATAGATAAAACATAAATCTCTATATATAGATAGATAGATAATGAACTGAAGATAGATAGATAGATAATAAACTGAAGGAATAAACTCACAATCTCCGTGCAGTGTTGATTCCTATTCACCACTGGCTTTATGTATAAATCTTCTATCGCCGATATTATTGACAACCTTTCTAAGAACATTATGACAAATCCCCGAAGACAGCTGGAAAGCTGTGACAGTCACTACTAAAGTTGAGGACACCAGTCCGTACAAAAACTATAAGATACATCCCTACACACATATGGACACACAACGGCATTCCTTCAAAAAACAAATCTTGAAGACTACAAAAAATCCTATCGAAACATTATTGGCATCTCAGTGATAAAGGCTTCATCCCGCAAATGAAATGGAAGATCATCTCTAAGGCTCGAATTCCCAACAATTTCAGAGACAGAGGTGATCTTTGCATCAAAGAAAAGGTTTTTATTATTAAATATGATAATCCTGACGAGTTACTAAAACAGCGCGGTGAGCTTATCTTCAAATGTAGACACAGACATTTTTAATCATTTAAGCATAATTTATGTTAAGATAAATGTTTTGGGCCTGGTAAAATTGGAAATCCATTTTTTGCGAAAATGTTTGGTCTGATGAATTAAAACCGAAGTATCGGTTTTAATGAAATAAAATATTTCCATGAACTTTTAAAGTCTCTGCTTTCATATTGTATATATATATATATATATATATATATATATATATATAAAATAAGAACGAATCAAATATAAATTCAAACGTTCACAACATTAATTTAAAAATGGGGATCAATACAATAGTAGAGCGATAATATAATTTATAAATATTTATTAGTGCATTTATAGCATATTTATCTTATAATTTTCGAATAAATTATATATATATATATATATATATATATATATATATATATAAAAGTGAACATAGAAGTCAACACTTAGAGGCAGCAGTCTGTTTCATGCTATATGTAATCGTCAGGCCACGTGTGCTGTTATTTTTCTCGGCTATTTATATATATACGGGTCAGTGGTGCATTGTGGGTAGTCTATTATGGCGGTTATTTTACCAGAAGTTGTTTATTTATTTATTTGGGTTAAATTATTTTGCTTGTTTTTATTTATTTTTATTTTTTGTTTCTTATTTTATTTATTTATTTATTTTTAATCGGTGTTTTTTATTAACGTAGTAAAAATTTGTTTATATCACTTATTTAATAGTTTTGTTTTGGTTTGAGAATTTAATTAATGCTATTTGTTCGGTTTTGGGGTTGATTGTAGTAGTTTATTCTAACTATTATTTTGGCAGGAACAGTTTTTAATTTGTGTTTATTTGGGTTGATTATCTTTATTTGGTTTTTCTAACGGTAACTTTATCTGGATTCGTTTATTTATTTACTTGGATGAATGTAGGTCAATTTATTTTACTTGTATATTTTCTCTTTTCGGTTTTCAATTTTTAAGTAACGTAGTATTTATTTATTTTTTTTATTTATTTATATTTTTTATCGTTATATAACAGTTATAGCTATTTATTTCGTCCGACTTTTTGGTTTGATTTTTTTAGTCTAACTAATATTTTGGTCATAATGGTTTGCTAATTTGTTTATTATTTACTTTATTTATTTGGGTTAGTTGTTTTGTTTTTATGTTTTTGTTTTGTTTTGTTTTTTGTTATTATATTATTATTATTATTATTATTATTATTATTCTATTTCGTCTATTCTAACAGATGTGATTTTGTAATTTATTTGGATTAATTAATTTTGTTTATTTTATTGTTATTTTGTTTATTTGTTTATTTATTTGTTTTTATTTTATTTTTTCCGTTTTCATTTTTTAAGTAACGTAGTAAAAATTTGTTTTCATGTCTGCATTTTGAGATGAGCTCGGATCTTTTATTTAATAATTTATTTTGGTCTGGGAAAGTAATGATAGCTATTTTTTCCTCCAAGCAAAGTTTGCAAGTTTTTGATTGGTTGTTGTAGGCTGATGATCTTTTCCTTATTTTCCAAGATATTTTTGGTGTGGTGTGCGTTTTGTTTTTAATTCCCCAGATATATTTAGAAAGCATTGTACTGTTCGCATATTTACTATTTGTGAAAGATGTTTTGTGTGTATAATTTCTTTGTTTCCAAGGTCCTTCAGTTACTCTTATGTATACTTTTTCTTCATTATCTGGTGATTTTATCGTGGCTTGGTATATTACGTTGTTTTGTAAACAATTTCCGTTTAAGGGACATTCGTTCTTTATTCTGCAGTTGCACGTGGGTTTAATTTGTTCGTGTGGTTTGTTGATAATTTTCCTGTTGCGCCATGTTCTCGGTGCAGCTGTAGCTGATTTTTAAAATTTTTACAATACTAGAAAGTATTAATTTTGAACTTAGGAAAAAGTTAGGAGTAAACCAGTGAAAAAATACAAAAACAACAATTGACTGGTTCCACAGCATAAATAACAAGCAAAATTGCCAATTCCTACAATTAGACATAAAAGAATTTTACCCATCCATAACAGAACGCATGTTAGATAAGGCCATCAACTTATCTCCGGAGCAAATAATAAAACCAAGCGAAATCAACATCATAAAAAGCGGTAAAATAACCGCCATAATAGACTACCCACAATGCACCACTGACCCGTATATATATAAATAGCCGAGAAAAATAACAGCACACATGGCCTGACGATTGCATATAGCATGAAACAGACTGTCACCTCTAAGTGTTGACTTTTATGTTCACTTTTATATTTACACACGCTCTATCTTTGATATTGAGCACTTTATCACATAAATATAGCACACCTTAAGACTATATTTCTTTATATTTCTTCATATATATATATATATATATATATATATATATATTATAGAAAGTGAGAGAGAAAATGCTATTTCCTCTTATACCTTAAGGGTAATTCAAAATAGAAAATTGCCCAATATGGTTAACCTAAAATAATGTATCAAACATGATTCAATGTTAAATGTATTTTATAAAAAATCCGTATATTATCAGTGTTGTGTAACGGTTACCAAACCGGTGATGCGGATCATAAATATGGAAAGCTATCCTCATTTGTGGCCTTGTGCCAAACCTTTATCCACGAAAAATTCTTAGACGCGAACATACGAAATGTCTTTTACAAATAATGATGATGACTGCATCAGATCTTTAATTTCATTCTCTTACTTTCTTCCCGACCAGTTGTGACCCTGTCGCGCCCTTCTAGTGTTTGTATTTGGCCAGTCTATTATAGATAGATAGATCGGAAGAGGGTGATAGATAGATAGATAGATAGATAGATAGATAGATAGATAGATAGATAGAAAATGTAAAATTTGTGATAGAGGCACATAGTTTCACTGCATATGAATGTATGCAAATGTGTGTGTGTGTGTGTGTGTGTGTGTGTGTGTGTGTGTGTGTGTGTGTGTGTGTGTTCGTAAATCACTTTCACGTCCCGAAATCTGCTACTGTCTCCGACTATGAATGGTCGGCGCCAATTTCCCTCCTGCACTCTTAAGTTTACACATCGGGTCCCCGTGTCCTTTAAATGTCATCCGACCCATTGAGGGCGGTGTCTGTTCAGCGCCGGTCCCAAACGAAAGGTTAGTGACAATCCAACAAAGCAGTCTTCAAGACAGACTATTAGAACGGCACAAGTTTCGACTGCAGGGATGGGTGTAGCGGTTCATTAGTAATAACTTTTTTTTTTTTTCTTTTTTTTTATTGCTTAGGCTGGCTGGCGAATTGGTCATGTTTCTATCTGAAAACACTCTATCCTGGACTACTGTCTATTACTAGTATCGACGCCATTTCTTTATCCCCGGTTGTATGTATGCGCCCTGTTAGTTATAAGCCGTATAATAGATTATATTTAAAATTAACTTTAATTATTTTTAAAACTTATCATACGATTATTTCTGTCTGATTGTCTAGGATCAGAAGTTAGCATTATTTACATTATTGATATGTGAACTATTGTCTTCATCATTATTATTATTATTATTATTATTATTTACTTTGATTTCTGGTGTATACTCATTTCTTTCCGGGTCCCAACCAGAGACCTAATGTCAGAAATGGCATCATAACATTTTTCACTGAGCATTTTCTGAGAGGAAAAAGTCCTACGATCACACACATTTTACATAGATAAAGCCCTTCGTAAGCTGTGAGCTGTACCTGTGAGTACAATTTTTTGTATTTCTTTAAGGCTTGGACTACCAGGAATCCCTTCAATGAGTCTAATGGAATCTTTTCCAATTAATCCGAGGGCTCCAACTACAACTGGAATTTTTTAGATTTCGATGCCAATGTCTTTGTATTTTGATAGTTTGTTGAAGATCTTCAAAGATACATTACAGTCTGCAGGGACTATCATGTCAGCAAGGAGGCATATTCTGTTTTTGTGGTCTCTGATCACGATGTGTAGACGATTAGCTTTGATTATTATTATTATTATTATTATTATTGCTGTTGTTGTTGTGGATTCCGTGAATGGAATCCTGCACAAATAAATAAACAACGCCAATAATTGAGATAGAAAAATAAGTGTATTAAACGTAATACAGACTTGAAGTGAAGACTAGTAGTCCAGGAATGCGTGTTAGTAGAAAGTATATGGAAGGCCGTAATATATATATATATATATATATATATATATATATATATATATATATATATATATATATATATCTGGACTCTTGTATAACTCTCTGAGAAGAGAACACCCTGCGTCAGTCTCCGTATCTCTCAACGTATCTCCACGTATCTCAACAGCACGTATTCTCTCTGTCAGTATAAGTATACTTTGGACGAGTCCACCTTATGTAAAAAGGGGAGAGCCCCACAACAATTATTATTATTATTATTTGTGTGTTATGTTTCCTGCTTTTTATCCTGTACAACCGTCTCCAAACTACGATCCTTAGGCCCTATACGAGAATTGTCATTAAATTATCACTTTTCGTAGTATATTGGATGTTCCTAGTAAGGCGATCTTCTGGGTAAATTGTATGTTGATGTTACCTGGGTCACTGTTAGTAAAAATTCCCATTCCTTTTCTCACGAGGCCCAGGGCTCCGATTACTATTGGTACAGTCTCAGTCTTCATTCCCCACATCCAGCTAATTTCGATCTTGCCCTTGTATTTGCACAATTTCTCTATAATTTTCATGGAGATGTTTCTCTCAGATGTAACTATGTCAATAAACATACACTTCCTGAATTTCTTGTCTTTTATGATAATATC